CTTTGTCTATATATTTGTTGTGATGTGACTTGTGAGCATTTTCAATAAAGAGTTTATTTTTTTTTTCGTTAAAAAACACTTAATATTAAGTAATACCATACCATAAAAATTACAGAAATCCTACAAAAGAAAGGAGGAACATCCTCACAACATAAATCCCTACTAAAAGACTTGGCCTCCCTTTCCATCACATGGGTAGGCATTGAAAAAGTTTTATTTACATAAAAAAACTAATATAATTAAAAGACATTTTTAAATATAAAATTTTGTCCACCATATCAAGAGTATCCCAAGGAAGATCCGTATGATGAGCATTCAAAGCATTCACTGCAACAGAGCAATCCGACTTGATAACTATAGACAAAAAGGCTGGATAATGCACAATGCTTTAGTGCTAAGACCATTTTTGTCATTCCATGATTTAATATTTATACATCTATACTATCTATAAAAGAGCGAATGTCCCTTCTTTTTGGAATTTTTGTTTGACGTTTTCTATTCTTTTTGTCTAAGTATACAATGGGCATGTATGTTATTTACTCTCACTTCAAAAACTACCCACTTATAACTGTTCAAAAACTGCCTATGAATTATAAATAGTTGTCTTAGAGATACTGCCACGTGCATTTGCACGTACACGTTTACTACTAAGATAAAATGTATAAGAAAGTGGATATCCTTACTCTATTCCTCTTAAAAGATCAAAAGTATAGGTTGATGTACCATTTATGACAATTAACCCAATGGATCAATTTTTGGTTGAAACCATATTTTATTAGAACTTTATAGATAAAATTTCATTCCAGTCAAGGTTTTAAATTTTGCAACGTATTATCGGCTGATACGTATCGTTTCAAAAGAATTCCAATGCACGAAACATATACAATTAGATAGTTTTATAATTTTTTGTCTGTATTGGACCGATATGAGTTCGTATCGGTCTTGTATCGAACTGTTTCAGGTATGTATCGGTTGATACGATCCCAATATGGGCCAGTACACATTATGTATCAGTCGAATTTAATTCCCCTCTCTCTTTTTAAATTCAAATTTAAATTTAATTCATCTCTTCTCTCTTTAATATCAATTTTAATTAAGCCTTTAAATTTGAGAAATCCGCGTTCTGTGCACCCGTGTCGAACGAATGAGTGCACCCACCAATCACATTCGGCCATGTCGAACGAGCGCAGAATGTGCAATGGTAACATGGGTTTGGCTGTCAATGATTCCATCCGATTCAATCAAACTCAAAAAGACAATTTTTCATTTTTTCTTCACACGAGTTTGAACTCCCCCTCCCTATACTCATTTGTCATTTCGAACCCTAGCATCTCCAACAGTGAGAAGCTCACCGTTGCTTTCACTCCATACCGGCATTCTCATAAACAACTTAGCCATCGATGACAAGGGACAAATCGTCTGACTTCTAGTCTGTACGTATTCTTCCTCTTCCTCCTCTTCTCTTCTTCTTACAAACCTAACGTTTTTTCCTTTCTATTTTCAACAGATGCTAGAGTTCACCTGAACGAATGTTTGAACGAGGAAATATCTTTCCCTAGCGTGTTAGTAAATAGTAATGGACACATTAATGGGAATGGAAATTATGGAATGACTGAACTTTTCCTAAATGGATGTATCCTTGGACCCCAAATAAGAGTTTCAGAACTTTCTGCCTTCACCAATTAAATTAAACTTGAATATTTTGATGGATTAACCGGTTAACTCAAAACACCCCAATTGATGTTCATAAAAGTTAGTGTTAATGGACAATTGGACACCTTGATTAACCTAGGTATCAAACACCTAGAAGTAGCTTTATTTCCGATCTCTTGTTAATTATTTGTAGCCATTTGATTGGTTTAGCTTTTGTTTGGAATCCAACTTAATATATTTTTCACAAATTTTGAGCATTTATTCAAATTGGCAATCTAAGTTAAATGAAAAAAATGAAACTCAGCATGTGGAAATCAGCATCCGTTCGTTCCACAAGCTGATTCTGGGCTCATGAATATCTTTGCACCTACACCAATTAGGGAACAATTCTTTTTCTTTTTTCTTTTTTTTTTTTTGTAAATATCAACCTTTTTCAGTAAAGATAGCACAATGTATGTACAAGAAGTCCGTGCTCAGAGATGTCAAAACATAGATCCATCTTATAATTATAACTTAAAAGCAAAAAAGACAAGTAAGCTTCTATCTGTTGAATGTCGGTTACAGAGGGGTAACTTCATGCTGTTGAACGACGGTTACAGAGGGGTTTCTCACTGGCTAGGGTACGCCGGTGTGAGCTGAGGTTCGGGTCACCTTTTATGAAAACAAAAAGCGAGGAAGACTTTTGTAAGAAGAAAAAGAACAAGAAGAAGATGCCAGAGAACGTGTCATCGGAGCTCTTGCCGCCGATGGACGATGGCCAGTGTGGTGTGCTTGCCGGTGTGTGGGGGTAGGGGTTCAGTGGAGGAAAAAAGAGAAAATGGGAGGGTTAGAACTGAGAGGAGTTTTAATAAGCTTTTTGTCGTTTTGTGTCCGGTTCATCCATACACTCCAGTTAACGGTCAAAGGCCCGTTAGCGTTAGCCTATTTTAACCCAGACAACGTGGTTGTCTTTCCTTTGCAGGTTCACGCATCTAGTGCACCCATGGGTGCACAGAATGTGGACTCTTTCGAACCCTAGTCATTTGCTTATAACAATAATTAATTGATCACTATATCAACTTTAATTGGTTATTATAACAACATATTTTTTATTTTTAAAGTAATATTTCTTGCTTTGGTGAATGTTTCCAACAAAAGCTAAAATTTGATTATTAAAATTTATATAATAATAAGATGAATACAAATTATATTTATTTATTAAAAATTAAGGTATATATTAACTTGTATACATGATAAATATTATCTAAATCTATATATAGTAAATACTAACTAATAAATGGCTTCAAAAAATATTAACTAATAAATATTAGTATATATACACACATACATTTTAGTTCTATTATTTTTCAACAGTTACTAATTATATCCCGATATTTATATAAATCATTAAGGAATGGCTTTTATGTTTAAATAGATTAGTTATAATCACATAAAACTCATTTTTATTGTTGTTCATATTTTTTTAAGGATTTTTTTTTTGGATTTTCTAGCATATCTTGATTTTTCGTCCATATCTATGTTTCTAAAGCATATCTCAATACATCTCTTAAAATTATCTTTCCGATACACTTTGCATTTCCGAACTTTGAATCTTGATTACATTCAGTCATATGCTTTTTCCATATCTATTTTACACTAGATGGCATTTTTTCTTAAAGACCCTTCCAAATATAGGAAGACCATGAAACAAAAACAAAGCACCTCTATTTATGATTAGTAGGGAAGACTTTCACATATATTTATTGACATCCAAAAACTACTAAAACGATGAAAAAGGTGATGAAGTACTAAAATGTAACCAACCCAGTTGGGATAAGGCTTGGACGATAATGATGTCTAAAATCATTTGTAAAATAGTCTTCCTAGGCCACCTTAGATTTCATTACTAAGGTGGCGTTTGATTGCACATTTGCACTTTTCAGACGTCTGAATCTGAAAATGTTGCTTTTCAGATGCCACTTTTGTTTGATGTTGCATCTGAAATTTGATCTGAAAAGCTTTTTTAGATCTGAAATTTTAAGACTCAAGCTCGTCACTTAACGTGCTCAGACGCATTTCAGATGTGGCCTAAAGTAAAAAATACCTCTCTCTCTCTCTCTCTCTCTCTCTCTCTCTCTCTCTCCCCTCTCTTCCCACCACCGGCACTACAACTTGTAGCAGCGGCGGTTCGGTATATAATAATAACAATAATAATAATTATTTTAATGTTTTTATAGTCATTAATTATATTATTATTATTATTGTTAATTATATTTTTAATTATTATTATTATTGTTAATTATATTATTATTATTATTAATTATTAATTATTTTAATGTTTTTATAGTCATTAATTATTTTTTTAATTTTAATTGCTTCATTTATTAATTATTAATTATTAATTTATTATTTATTATTTGTATTGTTTCAATATTATTTTGAGGTTGAAAATTATTTTTATGAGATAATGCAAATTGATTCAACACAAATTAATAATTTCATATGGTAAAGGGTTGATCCGGTGCAAACAAACTTATAGATTTAGAGCCTCTAAAAATAGAAAAACACCTATGCTTCTTTTCAGATTTGAGACACAAAAAAACATCTTTTTAACTTTTTAGATTTGAAATTTCAGATTTATCAAACGTCACCTATGAGTTTTTTATTAAAGGATGCATCAATCACATCTAGAGGTTTCCAGTAAGCTACTATTTTTATTTTTTATTAGTTTTTGGATTTTAATGGATCATATATAACAGACAACCAAGTCGAACCATAGATTGAGATGATTATATAACCCAGGAAGATTAATAATGGTGATATCTTGAGGATAAAGTAGAGATCAGAAATTTAAACATAATTAAGTCAAACACGTTATCAGTTGGACCTATTACCAAATACCAAATTTTTTTTTATCGTTAATACCAAGGGATGGGCTTTCACAATGTTATCCCTGCTAGCCATTAAACAATCAGAGGGTGCCTTTTGTAGTTATATTTACCCTCATTGAACCCTATGGATTTAACCGAAGATCAGGACGCAAAGGATGCTAATTCTGTAGAGATTTGAGATCCAAAATCCATGGAGGGCAACCAAACTACTGCAAGAACACCTCATGCAGCTGGAAATAGTCTCTTGATATGCATGAAGTTCTGTTTAATTATAATAGAAAACTGATCCCATCTCTTGGTTCAGAAAAACCAACTGATTTATCTCCTCCAGTAGCAAAGAATGATGCTTGCAATAGCTGCAGTTTGGCAATATCTTCTGTTCATTCAAAAGCATTAGATAATCATCCATTAACTAACATGATTCATATGATGGTATGAGCCTGCTTTTTCAACTTTTAGAAAATTCTTTTTGCCATGTGACCAAAACATTAGTAGCAGTGACTATAACAGAATGCTATAACCTGTACTGCTATTTAAACATTGGCGTATACAGAATAGATAATGGTTACTTTGCAGATGGACAACAGAAATTGCACCAATATCACTCAACAAACCAGGTCTAGTTTCACAAAACTGAATCAAAACCATGCACATTTTTGGGAATTGAAAGATTGCTTTCAAGCATAAAGGAGAGATCATGCATCTGTGAAATTAACATCTCTACATCAGGGTCAGCTGTCTCTGACTGTATGTTTGTCTCATGACTTTCATCTCCATTAGCTGCTTTGTTGGGATTCCATTCAGTTTGGCCACCCACATCTGCAAACCTGTAATTACATAGCAGAAGATATCAGAGAGGTTTCTTTTGCAGAGCATATGACAGAGGTTTATCATAAGGGGTTCTCTCATTTTGGGGAAAGGGGACTCATAGTTGAGTTGAGTTTTGTGCTATCATAACTTGCCACATCATGTATGCAGAGGAAATAGGTCTACTTCATGATGTATCTCACCTGATGGTGTCTACAAAAATCAGTGTGAATAGAAGATGATCCAAATCATACTTCAATTTGATATTCATCTCAGATTCTCAGTAGATCTCCATTATGAGATCCATTAGATGGTTGTCTAGATCTCAAATGTGAGAGGTGGCAAGCTATGAAGCTCTAGATGACCCTATGGGTCCTGTAGCCCACAGACAAGTTTCTGCCATCTGTAAATATTATAATGAGCTTGAGTTTTATATATCAGGGAGTAAAATTGAAATATTGATTGAACATCGTTTTGCAGTCAACATAATCACCAAAAAATAGAATAAAGAGGAAAGGGACAGGCACTAAGGGAACCATCAAGAAATCCAATCCGGCCCTGTCAAATTAATTCATCAAAACAAGTATAATTCACTCTGAATGGGAACTAGACAGGCATCATAAGACCTGACCAGCTTTCATTATTTTAAGTAATAAAATGAGAAATGTGTTATAGATAATACGTAACAAAACTGTACAGTGGGTGGGGAGATCAGCAAATACTTTGTCAGATGTGTTAGCCAAGCAAGGGGTAAATAGGGAAGAATTGTTTCGGGCACAGTTGTGATTCAGGCTTTTCTTTCCTAGTTTACTTGTAAGATTCAAGGAGGGGCGGATCGAAAAAAAAAACAAAACTGTATAGGTTATGGCAAAAGGCAAACCCTTTTCTACAACACTAATTAAAAAAAAAAAAAAAAAATCTCACCCATATAACAAACTCATTGCTTGTTCATTTTATACCTCTCCCCCACCCTCCCAGCCACCCCAATCCCTAGCAATAGCTAGATGGTCCATGTACATCCCTTGCAACATATATGACTATGAGATTGCTGGAGCACCCCATAAAAAATTATTCTATTTTGTTCCTTGCAAATGTACAACGATTGAATAAATAGGCAAGGTAGTAGTAAATGTAACTTTGAGAAAGTGATCTATGCAAAGTCAAAGTGAACTTGCACATTCCAGTCCTATTTGAGAGGGTAATTCAGATAGAACAGAGATTGCACCCCTCCTCCAGGGTCTTATATTGTATTTGACCATGGCTTAGATGATGCTAATAATAGAGAATGAATCCCAAATTGTAACTTGTTGTAAAGAAATTTTATTTACTGGAAAAGCAAAAACCCTGTCTTTGAAGTTGAATTCCTCGCTCCACTGAACCATGAGATTTTCCAACTCAGCTGTTAATAGGCTAGCCAGGGAGGTGTGAGAAGACTTTTGTTGTAAGGTGCCAACTAGCCGGTTAGTAAGGTCTTTGGCTGGTTGTAGCAGAGACTTGGGATCAAATCCCACTTGCACCAGGGTTAGGGGGATTATGGGCTACCCCCTGTTTTGTAGCTCTATGGAGCCAAAAAAAAATGAAAAAAAAGAAGACTTTTGTTGTACCAGGACACTTCTTTACAGGCATAAGCATGGTATCATGGTTGCCTTCTGCTTTTTCCAAGCTTTTCTATGTTGTTTCTCTACTTTTTCAGACTCTTTCTAAGATCCTGGCTTTGGTTTCTTTGTTTCACTAGTAGCATTACAACTTGATAAAAAAAGGGTGCAACTTTGAGTCTTAAGAATAACTCCAAAATGTATTTCCAGATACAAAATGTATTATTAGATTTCATATCAACTACAATCATTTCTTATTATTAATTCATAAGAAACCAAAGGAGATCAGCCAATTCTGTGGTTGACAATTTGGCAAAGTAGGGGAGGGGAGAGTTCTACAGGTTTTGATTCCAGTGGCAGTATCCTGGTGTATATGGAAGGAGAAGAATGCTAGGGTTTTTGATAAGTCCAGAGCTTCAGTTCCTTATCTGTTGAATAAAAGGAAACATTTCTTCCTGGCATGCTGTCCGCAAGGAGTTCAAAGAATTGAATTAAGAAAAAAGATCAAGAGATGTAAGGTAAGACGTGTTTGAAAGAATATAAAAGTACAAGAAAGGAGGAAATCAGCATAGGTTTGTGGAGGCGTGATGTGAGGGACTGTGAGGGAGAGAATGTTCTGGGACTGGAGATCTGTTAACAGCTTTGAAGATTGAAGATGGGAGAATTTGTGGAGGTAGGCCGTTGGAAAAAAGCTTTGAAGATTGAATCCAAGGAGCTCCTATTTGAGGAACTGAGATTAAATGGTCAGTTGAGCTTGAAAATCAGGGAAGCAAAGAGAGGGATGGTGCTGTTAGAAGGTTTGGGGGTAATTGAAGGGYTYAAGGAGTTTGTGGAAGGTRCAAGTAACAAAGGCAAACAAAATAGTTGGAAAGAGCTTCTCTCAGAAACTGGAAGAAGGTTTGTTGTAGAGTGTAAGAGAAACCTTAAAGGTTATTTTATYTCTTTGACAGAATTTTTTGGCAAGGGTAGAAAGCAGATGGTCTGCTTCCCAGAAGGAAGGAAGAGTCAGGACTGGAAGGCAGTTCATGGTGCCTTATGTGAACTGCTGCAACGCTTGGGTGCTAAAAGAGAAGTAACAGTAAAAAGGAGGATAAGCAGTTCTAATAGTTTGGTGAGCAATAATAATAAGCAAGAGACTCTTTTAGTGATAGCTGGGGCAGGTAAATACAGAATGAGAGTAAACATACAGAGAGGTGATTGAGAAAGTAAACTGATAGTTAAAGCTTCAGCTCACATTCTAGATTGGAGGAAAGTTGCAGATCTGTTAACAGCAAGTTTAAAGTTGAAGAGCACGTTTATTTTAACACCTTTTGAGAAGGACAAGCCTTTGCTGGATCTGCTTGAGAATAGAGTAGAAGTTGAGGCATTAAATATCCAAGCTAAACTTGGAAATTTCACAGTATCAAGATGGTGTCCRGGATCAAACTCCAAAGATTTCTTTGTTGAAGATGGAGTGCTGGTATGTCTCTTAGGTCTTCCCTTTCACTTGTGGAAGCAAGAAACTGCTGAAGCCATTGCTTTGATGTGTGGAGAATCACTAGGAGGTGCCTTTTGGGGAGACCTTTGTTCAGCTTCCATTTTATTGAATGGAGTAAAACCTGAGGAGATTCCTCGGAAAATAGAGGTGCTAGTTGAAGGACAATGTTACTCAGTGTGGCTGGCTTCATCCATTGAATCGGTGCTCTAGAAAGAGGCTCGTAGGGAGGGAGATGAGAAGGTTGAAGAAGAAGAAATGTGTGGCAAGAAAGGGTCGGAGGATTCAAACAAGAAAAGCACTTTCACTAAAATGGAAAAACAAATGCTGGAGAAACAAAAGGGTAGCATTCAAAGGGTGGAATTTTCACGTGTGGAAGCAGTGAACAGTCTGGAGGGTGGCAAGTCCTTTGCACAGGTTGTAATCAGTGCCAATTTGACCTTTTTGAACAAGGAAAAGGGGTTGGTTCAAGGAAGAACCGAACCTAGACCTGATAAAACCAAACCGAGCCCGGGGTTAGACGTGCATGACCTTCTTAAAAGTCACGTGAGCTCGCGGGTGTTTAAGTTCGGGCCAAAGCCAAAGCCCATGCGGACTGTTAGTGGTGTTATTAAAGGCCCAAACAGGTCAGCGGGCCCGACCCAGTATGTTAAAAAGGCGTGTGAGCCTTTAATGAATCACGTAACTGAGGTTTCGACTAAGATAGACAACGTTAACGGTCTATCATCGTCCCCAGTCGCGAGACAGGGGGGGAATGCGCGCAGCGCCAGAAACCAGAGAAGAAGCGGGCTTTACAGTGGGTCTCACGGCGAAGTCTGAAGGAGCTTAGCCCCCTGCGACGCTCCTTAGAGAGGCCGAAGCCAAGTTTCGCTAGGGGAAGAACTGAAGAGAAGGAAGAGAAGATTGAAGGCTAGGTGCAGTGCAGTGAAGGCGATGATGAATTGGAGGACCTTTCGGTTGATGGCACTAGCGTGGGCAGTGTAAACGACGAAGGTAGTTGTGCTGGAGGTGACATGGATGGGTGGAATATTGCAAGCTTATTTCAGGGTGAAGATTGCAATCGGCTTAACTCATCCCCAAGACCACAGAGTGTGCAAGGATTATCAGAAGGGGCAAACCGGGAGAACCGGAAGCAAAGCAGGAACATGCCATCTAGGGGTGAACCAGGGGTAGAGTGGAAAGATCACCAGGTTGACCAAAGGACAGAAGTACTTCCCAACCAACTCAGGGAGATAAATGTTTACCAACCTCTAGAACAAGAGAGGGAGGCCGGGAGCAGTCCTTTTCTAGCTTGTCCATCAGTCCCAGGTAACCATGTGATTTCGTTTTGTGCTATTAATGTGTCTCCTATGTCTTTGGTTCCAGATTCCGTTTCTGTTCTGTGTCTTATAGCCCATGAATATGCAGCCGAGGTAGCAAGTGGGCTCTCCGAGGAGGGGGAGAGGGGAAGGAAGGAATGTGGGAAGGTGCGGGAAGAAAGGTATAGGAGTGAAAAAGTGTGGGAAATCATTGAAAGAGTGTTTAAGGAAGTGGAAAGGAAATTGATCTGGAGAAGGGAAGGGGAGGAAGGAAGAGGGGAGGGGCTAGTGGAGAGGAGGGAAAGGAATGAGGGTAGAGATGAAGAGGATTTCGGGGAGAGAGCAAGGAAGGAGGGAGGAAGGATGGAGAGAAAAGATCAGAGGTGGGACCAGAGGAGAGGAAGGAAGGGCAGGTGGACAGAGATGGAGAGGATTCTGTAGGAAGGGTAGGGGTGGAGGACTCGGTGAGAGAAGACACGATAGCAGAATTTGTAGGGAAGTTGGGTTGTAGGCTGGAAGATTTGAATGAGTTGAAAGAAAGCTTACAGAAGAGGAAGAAGCAGATCATAACAAAGAAGAGGAAATTGAGTGAAGTAGAGAGATTGAAGAGAGATGTAGAAGAAGACAAGAAGCTCGGGGTAAAAGGTGATAGA